GATTTCGAAATTTAATGGTTCTCCTATGGATTGGCCAAGGTTTTGGGGACAATTCTCAGAGAACATTGATCAATCCGCAATTGCCCCGGTGACTAAGTTTTCTTATCTTCGCGAGTTGTTAGAGCCTAAAGCACGACAAACAATCGAAGCATTGCCCTTCCACAGCGAAGGGTACAATCGAGCGATAAGCATCCTGAAGGATAAGTTTGGGAAAGAATCCGAGATAGTAAAGGGTTACACGCGCGAGATACTTGGGTTGCCCACAATACAAGCGGCCAATCAGAAAAAGATTCATGAGTTTAGCGACAAATTGTCGTACTGCGTTCAAGCTTTAGAGACATTGGACAAGCTTGACGGGGTCAATGGCGCCGTGCCAATGACTCTTGATAAACTGCCTAGCATTCGTGGAGATTTGGTGCGAACGGACCCTGAATGGGAGAAATGGACCTTCACCAAACTAGTTGAAGCGCTCAACCAGTGGTGTCGAAGAAAGCCAATCGACAAACCATCTGAACTAAACGACGACTCGTTTAGCAGCAAGAGAAGAGACAAGCTGTTTCATGTCTCTCGTCAGAGATTAAATCCACGTAATTGCGTTTATTGCGATAGCGGCGAACACAAAACAAACGATTGCGCAAAAGTAACTCTGACGTCAGCCCGTAAACAGATACTAGCCAAGAAACGAGGGTAAGGATAAAACGCGGATACGGACGGACGGACGGATGGCGGACGGACGGACGGATGGCGGACGGACGGACGGACGGACGGATGGCGGACGGACGGACGGATGGCGGACGGACGGACGGACGGACGGGGGGACAAGCGGATGGACGGGGGGGATCAAATCCGCGTTTTTTAGGAAATGTAATTAAGACTATTATTAATCGTAATAAATTGTCGAAAAAATGATAAAATATTAAAACGTGGAAATGCGGGGTTTTTCGAACCTTTGTAACGCTGAAAATTCTAATTAAATACGTTAGACATCTGCTTAAACTCGGGTCCAATTTCATTTGCGCAAATATCGCGTAATCGAGTGAGTATTTGAACGCGATAAAACAACTCGTACGAAGAAATATTAATACATAAGGTTTACTAACGTACTTGCCAATGTCGTATTTTAACAAAAGTCCAACTGTTTCGTCGGATGTAATCGAGGCGCATTCTTTCTCAATCTGATTAAACTGTAAACAATACTAAAGTTGAGATATTTCAATACTCCGCGTTTTATCCAAAAGGGTATCCAAAAGGATAAAACGCGGATATGGTTCAAAAAACGTTTTTCAGCCTTTTTTTAAGCCATATCCGCGTTTTATCCAAAGAGGGCATATCGATATGTATAAAGAATATTGAATATTGTCCTAGAATTTGAACAAATAAAAACCAATAATATGTCTCTTCGCTTAAATACTTACTGCGAGATAAGAGTTCTAAAATTACAATTTAGTGTTAATAAAGTTTTAATTCAGTGTCAGTTATCTGGTATAGTACTCCAATTTTATGCCAACGTATATGTGCTGCTTTTCAAAGGCTTTGATGTCAATGCAGTTATCGGTTTAAATATACCTAAAATTCCCGTTAAGATATGACAATTGCCGTACGGCCTACTTTTACGCGAACGCAAATTACAACTGCAACTTTCATGCTTAATTTTCTCTGTTATCTAGGCATGTAGTAATGTAATTTTATGCCATTGCAATGTGCTATTTTTCAAGGGCTTTTCAGTGCAGTTATCGGTTTAAATATACCTCAAATTTCCGTTAAGATATGACAATTGCCGTACGGCCTACTTTTACGCAAACGCAAATTGACAACTGCAACTTTCATGCTTAATTTTCTCTGTTATCTGGGCATGTAGTAATGTAATTTTATGCCAATTTAAGATGCTATTTTTCAAGGGCTTTTCAATGCAGTTATCGATTTAAATATACCTAAAATTCTCGTTAAGATATGACAATTGCCGTATGGGCTACTTTTACGCAAACGCAAATTGCAACTGCGAGATAAGAGTTCTAAAATTACAATTTTGCAATAATCATGGCATGAGGCGGAAATACGATTCTCTTTAAATTACCGAACAACTGTCTTTACAACAAAGTTGCCCGAGAACGATAGAACATTCGTTGTCAAGAAGCTGGTAGACTCCAGCCATGACTGAGGGGAGACCGAATCGTTAGTCAAAGAAGCGAAGCTTCTTTCAAAACTACATCATGTGAACGTAGTTCAATTCAAGGGAATTTGTGTCGACCAGTATGCTTTAATCCTTGAACATGTTCAATTTGACTTTGCTCCAATTGGATTTGCTACATAACATGCACTGAATCGAAGATAAGAACCTGCAAAATACAAGGTCGGTTTCAACCTGGTTTATATTTCGGCGCCAAACGAAAGAGAGTTAATTTTCTCTGTTATCCGGCCGTGTTGCCAAAGTGGCATAAAGTACACGACCGGATAACAGAAAAATAAGCATGAAAGTGGCAATTGTAATTCGCGTTTGCGTAAAAGTAGGCCGTACGGCAATTGCAGTATCTTAACAGGAATTTGAGGTATATTTAAACCGATAACTGCATTGAAAAGCCCTTGAAAAATAGCACGTTGCTTTGGCATAAAATTACATTATTACATGCCCAGATAACAGAGAAAATTAAGCATGAAAGTTGCAGTTGTAATTTGCGTTCGCGTAAAAGTAGGCCGTAAGGCAATTGCCATATCTTAACGGGAATTTGAGGTATATTTAAAACGAAAACAGCATTGAAAAGCCCTAGCAAAATAGCACCTTACATTGGCATAAAATTACATTACTACATGCCCAGATAACAGAAGAAATTAAGCATGAAAGTTGCAGTTGTCAATTTGCGTTCGCGTAAAAGTAGGCCGTACGGCAATTGTCATATCTTAACGGGAATTTTAGGTATATTTAAACCGATAACTGCATTGACATCAAAGCCTTTGAAAAGCAGCACATTACGTTGGCATAAAATTGGAGTACTATACCAAATAACTGACACTGAATTAAAACTTTATTAACACTAAATTGTAATTTTAGAACTCTTATCTCGCAGTAAGTATTTAAGCGAAGAGACATATTATTGGTTTTTATTTGTTCAAATTCTAGGACAATATTCAATATTCTTTATACATATCGATATGCCCTCTTTGGATAAAACGCGGATATGGCTTAAAAAAGGCTGAAAAACGTTTTTTGAACCATATCCGCGTTTTATCCTTTTGGATACCCTTTTGGATAAAACGCGGAGTATTGAAATATCTCAACTTTAGTATTGTTTACAGTTTAATCAGATTGAGAAAGAATGCGCCTCGATTACATCCGACGAAACAGTTGGACTTTTGTTAAAATACGACATTGGCAAGTACGTTAGTAAACCTTATGTATTAATATTTCTTCGTACGAGTTGTTTTATCGCGTTCAAATACTCGCTCGATTACGCGATATTTGCGCAAATGAAATTGGACCCGAGTTTAAGCAGATGTCTAACGTATTTAATTAGAATTTTCAGCGTTACAAAGGTTCGAAAAACCCCGCATTTCCACGTTTTAATATTTTATCATTTTTTCGACAATTTATTACGATTAATAATAGTCTTAATTACATTTCCTAAAAAACGCGGATTTGATCCCCCCGTCCATCCGCTTGTCCCCCCCGTCCGTCCGTCCGTCCGTCCGTCCGCCATCCGTCCGTCCGTCCGCCATCCGTCCGTCCGTCCGTCCGTCCGCCATCCGTCCGTCCGTCCGTCCGTCCGCCATCCGTCCGTCCGTCCGTATCCGCGTTTTATCCTTACCCCAAGAAACGATTATGTTTTAATTGCGCCGCGGGCAATCATAAAGCCTCTGAGTGTCCGAGTAAAGCCACTTGTAGGAAGTGCGAAAAGAGACATCACACGTCTATTTGTGATTCTCACGACAACAAGGCCGGTGGTCAAATTTCTGGCCAAAATTCAAACGTTGCCATGACTACATGCCAGAAAAGCGAAGCGGTGTTTCCAGTAGTTGTTGTAGAAGTCAATGGAATTCGATGTAGAGCGCTGATTGATTCGGGAGCTGGGAGCTCCTACGTGTCAGCAAAACTGATAGACTTACTCAAACTGAAACCATCACAATCCCAGATTAAAAACATTGACATGTTAATGGCCTCTAAGACGTCCAAACTCGAGATTTACGATATGAAATTTGACTCGCTAGACGGCTCGTTTAGTCTTCCCGTAAGAGCTACAAAGGTAAACAAGAGTGAACTTTTGTTGATCGACAATCCCAAATACCCCAAATTAATCAATCAACACCCCCCCTTAACGGGCGTGACAATGAACGACGATGACGTCAAAGATACCCTGCCTGTCCATGTCATTTTGGGGAGCGGGGAGTATGCGAAGATTAAAACGCAAACAAGACCGAGAATAGGAGACGTGAAAGCCCCTATCGCTGAGTTGACCAAGTTTGGTTGGTTTCTAATGGGCCCTGGGTACGAGTTCGAAAGCAACGTGATGTTGATGACCCAGACCTCCCACGCCGAGTACGAGGAATTGTGTAGACTGGACGTTTTAGGGCTCGAAGATACCCCCCAAAATGACCAGACGGTGGTATTTAACGAGCTTAAGGAACAGTTGACCCGATCTCCCGAGGAATGGTACGAGACCGCGTTACCTTGGAAACCAAACCATCCCTATCTTCCAAACAATGAACGTGGTAGCCTGAAGCGACTCGGAGGTTTGACTAAAAGACTTCAACGCGAAAACTTGATGGAGAAGTACGACGGCATTATACAAGAACAACTCGCTGAGGGGGTCATCGAAAGAGTTCCACCCCCCGTGGTGACCGGAAGTGACTCCATTCCACCTCCCGTGGTGACCGGAAGCAACCCTATTCCACCTCCCGTGGTGACCGGAAGTGACACTATTCCACCTCCCGTGGTGACCGGAAGTGACCCTATTCCACCTCCCGTGGTGACCGGAAGCGACTCTGTCCCACCTCCCGTGGTGACCGGAAGTGACCTGGGCCCCCCGTGGTGACCGGAAGTGACTCCATTCCACCTCCCGTGGTGACCGGAAGCAACCCTATTCCACCTCCCGTGGTGACCGGAAGTGACACTATTCCACCTCCCGTGGTGACCGGAAGTGACCCTATTCCACCTCCCGTGGTGACCGGAAGCGACTCTGTCCCACCTCCCGTGGTGACCGGAAGTGACCTAGTTCCACCCCCCACTGTGAGTGGAAGTAACGCAAAGGAATTCTACATTCCACACAGATACGTAGTCAGAGAATCAGCCCAGACGACAAAAATGAGGATTGTATATGACGCCTCGGCCCGAGAATCACCCGAAGCTCCATCCCTGAACGATTGCCTCTATGCAGGACCAGAACAAGAACAAGAACGAGATAAAGATTCTGAGAACGACCCCTTCGAGAACCTCCTCCAACGTCACGATCTGCTTCGCGCACTCCTAATTCTAGCCTGGGTACGCCGCTTTACGACAAACCGTCATCGTAGAGGGCCCCTGACGTCCGATGACGTAAGAGAAGTTCGAGACTGGTGGACAAAACGAGAGCAAGCGAAAGATTCCCTAAGACCCCACTTCGAGCATACGAACCCTTAACCTCGTCATGAATCAACACGGGATTCTCGAATGCCGCGGAAGAATCGAAGGACATTATCCTATATACCTCCCAGCCGACTCTGAGTTTACTAAAAAACTCGTGCAGAGATACCACGTGGAAAAACTACACGGTGATGTGCTGTTAACGATGGCAGCAGTGCGTGAGATCTATTGGGTCCCGACGTTAAGACGACTAGTGAAAGCTGTTCGTGCAAAGTGCTACGGCTGTAAGCGATTTACAGCGACGCCGATCGTAAAACCAAGTCCAGGAAAGCTGCCTAAAGATCGTACCACTGGTGGGGTAGCGTTCGAAGTGATAGGTACGGACTTCGCGGGCCCTATACGCTATAAGTGCTCCAACAAACGCGAAAGGAAGAGCTACTTAGTCATATTCTCGTGTAGTTTGTCGAGGGCAGTCCATCTCGAACTGATAAAGAACCTAGAAACGACATCATTTATCCCGTGTCTGAAACGATTGTTCGCACGACGCGGGCGTCCGAGAATCATCTACTATGACAATGGGGCTACGTTCGTCAAGGCCTCCAAGTGGTTGAAGCTAATCAGGAACGACGAACGTGTGCAAGGCCTTCTGCAACAATACGACGTGTCGTGGAAATTCAACCTGAGCAGAGCCCCGCGGTGGGGTGGTCAGTTCGAGCGATTGATCGGAGTGGTAAAGAATGCTATGTACAAAGTGATCGGTGGGGCGAAGCTGACGTGGTCGGAATTGAACGACGTACTGCTAGATGTAGAAATCCAAGTGAATCGACGTCCACTAAGCTACATGGAAGATGACGTAGAACTTCCAACCCTAACCCCTTCCACATTTCTATTTCAACGAGCTAATGAATTACCCGAAATTGAACCATGGCGGATCGAAGACCAAGACCTATGGAAACGAGCGAAGTATCTAACAACGTGCAAGAATAGCTTGTGGAAGAGATGGCGACACGAGTACATGACCGCGCTGAGTGAACATCACAGCCTCGTCCATAAGACTCAGAAATATAAAATTAAAGAAGGGGACGCAGTGATCGTAAAGACAGACGATAAGAATCGAGGGAAATAGCCACTAGTCATAGTGGAGAAGTTATTCCCAGGACCAGATGGTCGAACACGAGCTGTTCAGCTCAGGACGAAAAATGGCCAGATAGAAAGACCCGTTCAGCATCTCTATCCCCTAGAACTCCAGTGCGACACAAAAAGGAACGCGAACGAAGGCAGAGTCCAACTGAACCCCGGAGCCCGAGCGTTTGTACCGAAAAGAGCTGCCGCAGCAGATGCACGAGCAAAAATAACCGCCATAGCAGAAGATCAAGAAGAAGATATGTGAACACTATATAATATTTACACATTAACACTAGATTCATTTTCAAGTTTTGTTTTCCACGAACACGTAGTTTAAAAGCGCAGTCTCTTTAACGAACATACAATTTAGCTCCTAACTTGCATGGGGGAGTGTGTCGGAGACTGTCCATATATATCTTAATATTTGTGATTTAATAGCAGGATTAATTATTACTTTAATTAGGGACGAACATTGCGTGATTGGCACATTTATATTATTATGAAGAGGAGTTAAAAGATAGGAATGGAGTGACTGTGAGAGAGACTATAGACCGCGTATACAACTGTGAGTGATTTTCAATAATAAATATATATATATATATATATATATATATATATATATATATATATATATATATATATATATATATATATATATATATATATATAAATAGGTTTTTGGAATCATGCCTGGTATATATATATGAATATAATTTTTTTTATTTAAAAAATTTAAAAAAGACTTCTACAGGCAATAAAAAATTTAAAAATTTTGTCCCAACGTTTCGCCGGTTAAGGCTTCTTCAGGGGAATGTTATAACTAGATCACGTCCGTTGAATATATACTACAAAGCTAGACTAAATTTAAATAAAAAGGGTGGAATGTGGACAATAACGAGCTAAAATTTAAAATGTTGTTATTCAGGCGTATCATGCAGAATATATATTTAAATGTCAATTGTTCTACCAATGCATCCGTTTATTACGTTCCCCGCTCTTTTCTTAATTTCAAACGCCTCAATGCACTTACGCTCATCATCATTGTTTATGTTGGAATGTAGGATTCTCCAAGTTATGGTTGGCATGTCATCTTCGTTACTCCTGTGGGATTCAATATGTTTGTACATGGTTTGCTTATTCATGGTCAAATGTTCTTTAATGCGCGTGCCAATTGTCCTACCAGTTTCACCAATATAAACTTTATTGCAATGCAGGCATTCAATTTCGTATACAACGCTCTTATTGTGGCAACGATTTGGTTTCTTTCCCGATTTGCAAGTCTCGCAATTATTAGGGCAACTCATTGTTTCTTTCCGTGGGGCAAACCTCTGTGATGACGACTTCCCGTTCAGAAAATGGATTTTGATATTATTTAGTCCCGATCGACGGACTACAGCAAGAGAGCGTCGTTTAAACTCCTCGTTAATATAGGGTAGCTTCATATAAATGCAATTTTCCTGATCGTTAATTCTCGGTTGATTGTGTAATACACGTTGAATGGAGGCTCTAACAAATGATTTGGGGTAGCCATTTCTAGCAAACACTTGGGTTAGTTTACGCAAGGATTCTTTTCGATTATTATCATCTGTTGAACGAGAAACGGCACGGTTTATTTCGCTGATTAAAATAGCTCGTTTAGATGCGAGGGATCCGTGACTGTCCCATGGAACGATACAATTGCTGTGAATAGGTTTTATGTACAGCTGGGTGGAAAAGTTCTTCGTTTCAGGGTTGAATGTAACCATAGTATCTAGAAATGGCAATTGCCCTTCGTTTGGTAATTCGATAGTAAATTTAATGGCTTCATTTATGCTATTAGCAATCGTCAGGAGTCTATCTCCAGTTATTTGTCTCGATAACATAAATGCAAAATAATCATCAATGTAACGTTTCAATATAACTAGGCCATTAGTTATGGTGGTAATTTGCTGATCAATTTCATTCATGTATATTATTGCAACATAAACAATGATGATGAGCGTAAGTGCATTGAGGCGTTTGAAATTAAGAAAAGAGCGGGGAACGTAATAAACGGATGCATTGGTAGAACAATTGACATTTAAATATATATTCTGTATGATACACCTGAATAACAACATTTTAAATTTTAGCTCGCTATTGTCCACATTCCACCCTTTTTATTTAAATTTAGTCTAGCTTTGTAGTATATATTCAACGGACGTGATCTAGTTATAACATTCCCCTGAAGAAGCCTTAACCGGCGAAACGTTGGGACAAAATTTTTAAATTTTTTATTGCCTGTAGAAGTCTTTTTTAAATTTTTTAAATAAAAAAAATTATATTCATATATATATACCAGGCATGATTCCAAAAACCTATTCATATATATATATATATATATATATATATATATATATATATATATATATATATATATATATATATATATATATATATATATATATATATATATGTAACCAAGTTTAAACGGTAAAACCAAGTTTAACATCCCCAGTTCAAAACACTGTCCGTGTCCTCTTAAGCAAGCCTGTCCAAGAGGAGAACATCTGTCGTATTAATACTATTATATTTTGGCTGTTAATTTTGTTTAGCGAACGAACGATATTTATCAAACCCAGTTGGAAGAACAGCAACTACATAGTTCCCATGTAATAAATGCTGAAGAATTTGATTTCGAGTACGTCGTCGGTAGCAAAAAGAAGGAAAAATTTCAAAGACTAAACGCATTTTTAAGCCGCTCTAAGCACTTAAATTTTGTGGACACTCCTACGTTGGCGGCCATCTTGGATTTTCTAATTCATTATTATTATAATTTATTAAACCCACTATATCTGGGTGTTGAAAGTCATGTGACCGGCCGGTGCCAGGGCCTTTTTCCGCCTTTCCAATGACAAAAAGGGAAAAGCCCTATGAACGAGGTTGCATGGAAAAAAAAATTTTGATTCTGGATTTTATGCCCTCTAATAACAATATGTAAGGAAGAGCACATATCAAATTCACAATAAATAGTCAATCACTGTATATTTATAAGAAAAAACGTATTTATTTTTTCTTTCTCTTCTGCGCTGGCTCATCACTCACAGTAAACCACTTTTTCTTTTCATATCTGCCACCAACATCTCCTCGTACAACTGGAGCAATGTCTCGCTGCGCTGCGTTGGTGAGATCATTGTAGCCAAATTCATAGGCACTAGGATTATCTGCTCGTCGTCCTTTGGAACGCTGGTGTCCAAAGTAATCCTCCAGTACATCTTGCATAAACATTTCACTCAGGACATACTTGAACCAAATTTCCATAAGAAACTTGATGGCCTCAACATGGGAAAAGGCATAAATCTTCAGACCCTCGTACGTTTGCATGGATAAGAACATCTTTCCTCTTGCATCATCAGAGAAGTCGCCTTCCCTTTCATGAGTGGATGCCTTCAAACTCTCCAGGTACTGAAGAAAAACATCAACCAACCATCCAAACCGATCATCATAAGCAGAAGTATAGGGCTTGATGAATTCATTTCTTTTTTTGACACGCTCAGTAAAAGATCTTACATTGGTGCAATAAAAAAATCGTTCATCATTCGACGAAATTGTACAGTCCCCAAAACATCACTGTTTCCGCTTTCCTCCAGTGCTATTGCAACCGATCGACTGAGAACCTGAGTTCCCAATCTCACCTTCATCTTGCTGTAACTCGTTAGCGTAATGTGATCCAATGTCAATTTTGGAAGCACATGGAGCTCAACTGCTTGATCCTGATAAAAAAGATCTGCTATGTGACTATATAGAAGATATTTGCCATTGTTCCACATATATCGACCGTGTGATCCTGATCCTGAATTATACAAGCAGTTTCGATGCAGTCTTCAGTAAATGTGGAGAATCTGCGAAGAAGTAGACAAAACGTAATGGTGCAAAAAGATTTAAAGTCTTATATACAACATCGCATTCATCTTCATCAGCCAACGTGCTATGGAGATTAAATAGCTTGCGATTTGGTGAAGCACAATCATTGACCAGACCAATCACCCAAAGATCCAGTGACAACTCCAATGTTGACACAACTTTCCAGAAAATGGGCATTAGATGGTATGAAGTGACATTCCCTGTAAAGTAATAGGCAATGATATGTTTCATATCAGTGCCTAAACCTCTAACAAGAAATGTCAATGCATGAGTGGCAACGCTATCTTCCTTATCAAGACAGGCATAATTTGTCATAGGATCAACAAGATCAATAAACCCGATCAGATCACCAGAATGCTTGTCATATTCAAGATTTGATTGGACCTTCATCTTATCCATGACCAGTACGACGTATCGTTGAATTCCGCTAAATGATTTCACCTTATTTCGCAAAGATTCTGCACTTTCTGCGTTTACCCCTGCTTTTGGAGAGAAATAATTTTATAATCTCTCAAAACTCTTTTGCTGGGTAATATCAAGGCACCACTTTCTCTGAGCTCTCTATAGGCAGATGGTGATTTGCCATGAACAGATAAAGCAAACCGAATAATTTGTGGGTGATATATTCGTCCACAACTAGAAGATTGCAAAAGCTTCATCTGTTCTTGCCAGAAGAATTTCATGTGTGGAGTACTATCTAGATTTTGTCCATCCATTATCTTCAGAATTTCCTCCTCCAAAGTCTTATCAATGGATACGCCTTGACTGGTAATGTTCTTTTGGAGTTCTTGCAGTTCCCCTTCAAGCAATTTGCACTTCGACCTTGCAGTGACCACAGTTGCTCGTAACTTGTCAGGTCCACATGCTGAAAGAGGAGCCTTACACTTTGCTGCGGGATGTTTTAGCTCTCTTCTTGTTTGTCTTCTTTAGTTGTTAGGTGATAGTTGAGCATGGATCACAGAGTTCAGAACGTTCTATGATGACCTCACAGTTAGGTGAACGAAAGAAAACAGTTGCTTCAAACTACTTTTGTGATGTTTTTTTGGAACAGAGTGGCGAATAACTGTTCGAGGAATAGCAATGGTTATGTCAGTGTTCGGATCAATAGCAGCATTTCTTGTTTGATGATTTTCAGGCACACATTCACATAGCTTGCTTTTCTCTATTGTTGACAACACCTCTCGAAACTGTCACCACTTTTGATAGATCGTTTATGTTCGTTGTAGATATTGTGATCATCAGGTATTGGCCAATTAAAAGCATATGCCGTAAACTCTATTGAATAAGAATCCACAACAACTGTATATTTGGCAACTCCATGGACATTGTCAGTCAGAAAAAAATTGACATTGCCATCGTCACACACTTCACTTTTCCATTCCAATAAAGTATCATGGTCAAGTTGATTAATTAAATCAACTGAACACAATCCTGGCTCTAAATACGAATGGGTGGAAGATGGTATATCCTCTTGTAGCTCTTGTCTTGGTGCCTGCTTCTCAATAACTCGACGTGGTGTCATCTTGGTCTCATGGGATCTTAAGGGCAGGTTTTCCGTGAGGATACAGCCAGTTTGAAGGATTTTTCTTAAGTTTGGCTTATCAGGATCTGCAAATGGTTATAATTAGTACACAAGTAGTTGTGTTCTCTATAGAAATGACTACACTTATTAAATATAAGTGCATAAATTCCATACATTGTAATGCATAATAGAACTTCAAAACTGATAGAGTCGTATTTCAAAATAGCAATCAAAGCTGCTAGTGTCAAGCTAGTGAATCAAAAGAATCTTAATCCAAGTCGCTTTCACTATACGGTATTAAAATATAAAGTGTTAACAGTCATACATGACTACAACACATATAAAACAGCTGCATGTACTTGCCACTTCATATATAGTAAAAAACACCCGAACTTTATATACTTCAAAAATGGTGCAGATAAAATATTGGATATCCAACTGGACAGTAAATATTGGTTGGAATTACAGCATGAAACCTGGCAGGGTGTCAAACACACAAATATCAGTATATCACTAACAATCCTTATAAAACTCAGTTGAGATTATATTTTGTGGGTACGTTTATAGTCTAAAACCGTGGTTGTTTTCACGTATAAAAATATGCATACAGTGGGAAAAAAAATGCAGTAAGCTATTATAAACATTAAAACATATATAACATATATAACAACTTGATGGTTTTAGATGGCTTCGGCTCCATATTAAAAAAGCGGCAAAGGTTGTATGAATCTCAACAGCCTAAAAGATAAAAATATAGCCGCTTCTCGACGATTCGAGCAAAGGACGAAAGTTTTCCTGAAACAGAGAGATTCGATAAGCCATATTTTTATCTTTCAGGCTGTCGTGTAGTGTCAACAAGACAACATTTGCATCCATGGTGTCCCTGGTCATACCAAGCAAAATTTACATATTAATTATCATAACAATTATGCAACAAACATACCTTTTAAAATGCAATCGGCTTTAAAATGGAGTTCGCAAACATATATATTATTCTTGCTTATCCGTTCCTTCAGTTCTGAAGTCATCTCTCTTCTCCTGAGAATAATATTGAGCCATTCTTCTCGGCTTTTTTTTCTTTAACGACGCAGCGTGTTCGCTTTGTTTGGCGTTCACAACGGGAATTTGAAATAACGAAAATTTGTCCTTTTGGCTAGTCGGACGGCAAAAAATGCACAATTTCTACCAGGCATAGTGAAAACTTACATCTCGAATTATAAAAACAGCACAAAAATTAAAGACAGCCTTGGAAAACGATGTTTCTCGATGAGATTTTTGTTTTACGCTATTAAGGATTTGTAATTTGATGCACTATCAGTCATTCATTTAATTGTGATTCTATTAACTGTGATTCATTCTATTAACTGTGATTAAACTGACAAACCGCTACCACATTTCTGAATATACTATGTCGCTATATTCCTGTGTATATATATATATATATATATATATATATATATATATATATATATATATATATATATATATATATATATATATATATATATATATATATATATATATATAAATATAAAATAGTTTGTGTAAGGTTATAAAAACCAATGATAGAGTGCTCAATGGATAACCAGAGCATAATAGAAAGACACAAAAACTTAGCAAGCTTTGTTTGGCATATTTATTACTATACAGTTTCGTACCACGTAAATAACGTGGCACTCTTCAGATAAAATAGCCTATGTTTGACCTATAGCTTCTTAACAAACTTTTTAAATGTGTACAGATGGTATAAAGGACGCTTATCTAATTACAAATCAATTAACACCACAAGTAGTGTCACGAAAATATTAGTATCAAGTTATAAAGTTTTTAAGTAGAAATTTATTAGCGTGTCTACACGTGGAGACAAGTTCGTTGCGACGATTAAGTGTTGCAATGTCCGGTTTACAAATAATGAAATACTTCTCCCAGATACACAAGTTACATCTCTTGGATGCATTACTGTAAGATTTAGCGCGTTTTAAAATTTTCCATCTGATAGAGTAACTAATATTATTGTTCTTAAGATTCCAGATGTATTTACTTAATAACTTGTGTATCTGGGAGAAGTATTTCATTATTTGTAAACCGGACATTGCAACATTTAATCGTCGCAACGAACTTGTCTCCACGTGTAAACACGCTAATAAATTTCTACTTAAAAACTTTATAACTTGATACTAATATTTTCGTGACACTACTTGAGGTGTTAATTGATTTGTAATTAGATAAGCGTCCTTTATACCATCTGTACATATTTAAAAAGTTCGTTAAGAAGCTATAGTTCAAACATAGGCTATTTTATCTGAAGAGTGCCACGTTATTTACGTGGTACGAAACTGTATAGTAATAAATATGCCAAACAAAGCTTGCTAAGTTTTTGTGTCTTTATATATATATATATATATATATATATATATATATATATATATATATATATATATATATATATATATATATATATATATATATATATATATATATATATATATATATACATATATATATATAAATATATATATATATATATATATAGACGCCAAGAACTGAGCTTCTACACCGGACTTGCCGGCATGCAATGATCATCACTCAGCATTGTTCGCACTCAAAACAAATCTCTTCATCGAGAAATATATGCAATATATTTCTGGTGTATCGTTTTACAGATTGCATTTTAAGTCTTTCAAACCTTTGTATGCCCCGAAGGAAATCTTGATTCTTGATCTGGAATTTTAAAATTTTTGTGTTGTTATTATAAACGCATTCTAATTATATCTAAGAATGATATGTTAGTACAAACGAGATAAAAAGTAAAGAAATTGAAGCACTGGTGATTTTGCAACAGATGCCAGGTTCATTCAATTCCGAATTCTGGGGGGGGGGGCATTGAAAATTTTAAAAACTTGAAGGGGGGGGCTTCGAAAATTTTCCAATGACCTCAACAAGGGCCTTGAAAAAAAATGTGTGTTTTTCAAGACATCTTCATCCCCCCCCCGCCCCCTCGGCGTAATAAATGTACTTTCCCTAAACATACATGACACATGCATGTGACATGGGAACTATTTCTGTTAATTTATTATTATGTCTAGTTATTAACTTTTGAATTCAAATGTTTCATTTGTGAAATGGTTTATAATTTGCCAGTAAATTAATATGCGGCTGTTTCATGCTACCAGTAAATAATATTCGGATAAATATTTGCCAATTAATTAATTTGGCGAAATACCTGTAATCGGCCAGCCCTAGCCTGTGACGGTAGACCAGGCTCAAAACGTGTGTTTATAGACCGTGTTATACTGTAAAAGGGTTTTAGTTTAAGAATATATGTTATTCTAACTGCACAAACAGTTTTAACACCACCAAAATGGTGCTATTTTAACACCAGTGTTCTGTGCTAATTTAACACCACCAAAAAGGTGTTATTTTAACACTCGTGCTGCGTGCTAATTTAACACCACCAAAAAGGTGTTATTTTAACACCCATGTTCTCACTCCACAAACAGTGCTAATTTAACACTGGGGAATACAAATTCTTAACACCACTTTAGCACCAGAAACCGGTGTTATTTTAACACCACCTGTCCTTAAGTGGGTGTTATTTTAACACCTCTAAAGTGGTGTTAAACAATTTGAGTGTTAAATTAACACTTTGCAAAATATTTTTATTTATGTCGTGTTAAATTAGCACCGAAAAAGGGTGCTAAAATAACACCTTTGTTTAACACCACCAGTTGGTGTTAATCTAACACCACCCGAGGTGCTATTTTAACACCCTGAAATTAACAGTGCAACGAAATAGCTTCACTTGTCATAAATTATTCAAATAAAGCACTGTCCAATCAGAGGCGGTCCCCAAATCTAGGAACTATCCCCGTGACCTGAACAAGGAATATGCATCCAACTCACAGACGTTCTCTCGCGCGCTTCGTCGAGAGTAACGGCTGTAGATAGGCTATCTTATCTATTCAATTCCCTCTGAAAGCCCTGTAAGTTACTTAATAACTCTACATTCTATCATTTAAAATCTTGGATTGCCCTGCCAATCCAGATGATTTGCCCTGCTAATCCAGATGATTTTCCCTGCCAATCCAGATGATTCGTATTTTGGGGGTGTCATACCCCCCCCCCCCAATACCCCCCTTCACGTTTCGCCCCTGACAGTATGACATGTGTGGCATTTGAAATATGTCTACTGTACGTATTTCTCCACCCTCAGGAATTCGATCGAAATTTTTTTTCAGTTTGACCTAGTGTGTGACGATGCTATCTACGGCTGGCTTGCTAAATCCATGGTGTATATCGGAACGACAGTCGCTTCTCTCCCACTTGGTATGATCTCAGATCGCTTCGGTCGCTTAGTAACGATCTACCCGAGCCTGCTTTTTATAATCATTGTAGGCTTCGCTTCTGCATTTGCTACGAAATACTGGCAATTTCTAGTGTCCAGGTTTTTTATTGGAGCTGTGATATACGGTATATTCCTTCCTGTGTTTGTCATGTCGGGAGAGTTTGTTGGCCCACGATATCGGCCTCTGTCGCAGATAATCATGTGGTTCGCATTTACCTGTGTGTTATTGCTCTTGGGATTGATGGCATATTTTGTCCGAACTTGGAGAACCCTCATGATACTATGTACAGCGCCATGGATATTCATCCTTGTGTTCTGGTGGTGAGTATGTATCGAAATGTGGATAACTGAGTAATATATGTGTATGTTCCTAAAGCGTCTGCTTCACTTGTACTAAAGTAGATCAAATACTGTATCTGCGGGTCAACATATCCTGAGTATCAGGTCTCTGCATGTTACAGGCCTTAATCCAGTCGCAGAGCTTCCAGGTACAGTTAATTAAAACTCTAGGCTTATTCGCTCTTGGAACATATTTCCTCATTTGCTCCGAACCGATCGTCCCGCTAACCAATTGTTCTTCGGATTTGAATAGAAAAAGTGCAGACCTAGATCGTATTCCTTGCATTCGAAGATGCAAAATTTGAACCGAATAAATATAATTTTCCTGAAATACTATGAGATTTGTAAGTCCAACCGTGAGATCCAGAGGAGGAGTGGTCACTATACCGTGATGCATTTCGATTAATTATATATTATTGACAAGCGGGCGCTTATTGTTCGCTTGACCTTCACTATCAAAACAACAAGAATGAGAAATATGGCGGATTTTGTAAAGCCGATTCATCGCCATAAAGGTTCAGTTTTGGAAGGACACGATCTTCTTTTTGTTCATTGCATGTGTATCATCAGAGTCTATGCTGGTGGTTCCTATGGGTTATCGTGTGTTCAGTTTGAATGCCGTGAGATTCACATCAGAAGAATCGCTATTAATTGTCTCTAAAAGTTGATGAAATCTTTGCCGATTGCAATAGCCCAGCATTGATAGAGAATAGAGATACATTCCAGTTGTACATGTTTTTTGGGTAAGTCGTTTGTTTTAATCCTTAAAGCCAATACAAAAGCAATGTAGCTACGCAATGCTTTTTGCTTTATCTATGATTCAGATTTTTATAGCCAATGTTGGTATTATGTTGGTTGGTAACAATATTTGTACTTTCTATTTTGAATATAATATAGAGCTAAAAATAGTTTAAGTTAGAAGAGCTTAGACTGCTCATTTGGTTTGATCATAGAGGTTTGATTATACTTTGGTATTTTATACGTACTATTAAAGTAATTAACCCATTGAATTGCGTCGAGTCGCATTACTATGATTGCGCCCTGATGCGCCCTACTTTTAATATTTTACTCTGTCTAACACCAGGTTATTTTACTCTGTCTAATGGCAGCTGGCCCATCGGCCCATGTGTCTAGTTAATCCATTGAGTCGCATTGTGCCCTCATGTGCCCTACTTTAATATTTTACTCTATCTAACGCCAGACGATTTTACTTCTCAAGGGGAGAGCACTGGCGTCAGTGATCTCAGGCGTGATGGAACAGGACAATCTCTTATCTTTGAGAATGTTATTTTGTGGGATTTTGATATTCTGCCATCGCCACCTTCTCAAACAATTCAACTTCGAGATCCAGATACTGTTAATGAAAAGTTGGACAGTGTGCTGTCACCAATAAATTGACAAGGGCAAACTGAATGTAATTGTGATCTACAACCAATAAATTCTGTGTGCTTGGTGGGTATTATTCTACAGTGCAGCATTGCTGATTTTGAAAAGTGGACAATGGGACAGATATGATCCAAGAAACAATTATAACAGTGACATAGATTACTAGAATATTGTAAATTGATGTTTGTGATGTTATTCTGAGTGTGTATTCACACCGGGTTAGCTGAAAAGTTGGCCTGACCACGGTGGGAATCATACCTGCGATCTTTGTGATATTAGTCCAATGCTCTACCAACTGAGCTCGGCTCGGTGTCGATGTACACTCAGTAACATCACCGAACATATTCACCTGAGTTCATAACACCAACACACACAAGAAGTATATTGTAAATTGTTGTTATTTTATTTTATTATGGATCCCTACATATTTTTTTATTATGGATCCCTACAATTATAACAGTGACATAGATTACTAGGTTAATGTAAATTGTTGTTATTTTATTTTATTTTATTATGGACAAAATTTCTCCAGATCCATGGATCTGTTTTCCAAATAGACATGAACTCGATCAAAGCTTTATTTTCCTCAAAGGTCCATTTATCTTTTTTCACTGGTGATTTCTTTGAAAGACTCATCCTGATCTTTCTGCTAGAAAACTACAACAAAGTATGTCATTTACTAAAATGGAAATTGAGTCAAACGCGGACATGCGCACATGCAGGTCAGGTGCATTCTCGTACCCAGAGCCCTTCTTACGCGCGTTCGACCGAGCCCGACGAGGGGCTCTTGCCAAATCCATATCAAACTGGCTTCTGATTGGCCACAACGAAATATATGGTTTATTGTGCGCAACATGAAGCGTTGGTTTCGTTTTGGATAAAATTTGGAGAAAAGACATTATTAATGTTAAAAGAACAGCAGTACGAAGCAGTTAGGAAGATTGTTGTCGATTATCAAATCGCCCACAAAAGCGGTAGATGTCGCTAATTTTATTTATTTAAATCAATTAGTTGATTGAAATTAATAGGTTGAGACGTGATGTTCTCATAGCAAAAAGTCAGCATATTTATGGCAGATGCTCGTCGTATTTCCAAATCAGTGATGTTAATCAAACAAATCTGTGTTACATGTTCAAAGCTGAAGTGCCATCTGAATAGAAAATATTAAAGCCAGCCAGAATATGAAGTTAATTGTGATGACTATTTTCTTCCTAGAAACCGATTTTTTACAATTTTCAAATGATTTGCAGTATAGTATGTCTTATGTATGACTGTTGACTTTTAATAAAACACAAAAAAGTCTAAAAATCTGTACAACAGCGACTTAAAATCGAATATAAAATAGTGAGACAATCTCTCGTGAGTCTCGTCTTCGTATCCGTAGCCATTTATACTGCTTTGGCAACGTTTAAGAGGGAAATATATACTAAATTTTTATCAACATGCATTGAGAACATCACGTCTTACCTACTAATTGATTTAAATAAATAAAATTAGCGAAACCTACCGCTTTTGTGGGGTTTTCCTGGAGAAAAACTTTCAAAACGAAACAAACAAGAAAACCGAAGTGTTTATCCGCGTTTGACGTTGAGCATGCGCAGTGTTTAACCGGATACCATGTTTTTATGGTATCCGGTTATGGATTTGGCCAGAGCCCCTCGTCGGGCTCGGTCGAACGCGCGTAAGAAGGGCTCTGGGTACGAGAATGGGTCAGGTGGAAAACGCGGACATGCGGACACGAAATTTACTAAAGTTCAAAAAATTTATTACGAGAATAATTAATAATTTTTCGCGTGATATTGAAAGTTATCAAGGCCGAGGTTGTGTTATAATACTCTTAATGCTGTCTTAGCTTGTAGCTTGTTTAGTGTATGTCGCTTCTTTTTTTAGTTACTGCAGAGGCAAATCTCGCCATGGCTTTATATTTTCTGCATGTAAAGAAGCTCGTTTTTGCTGGCAATTATTCTCTACGAATTGATGTCATATTTGCATTCAGAAAGCTATTATCTGCAGATGTGATGTCATAATTACACAATTTTAAGAATTATATTTGTAGGCCAGCAGCCACTCAAAACGGAGATTGTATAGGAAATAATTAATGAATGAAGATTGATAATGGATTGTTGCGCGAACTCAGTTTACTGTTTTCATGTATTTTTACTTACAGTATTGAAGATTC